TCAAAAAATTGTACTATAAATATTTTATAAGAGCAGTTTGATAGTTTTTCTAAAAACTCGAATGATAGAAAATGTCAGCTGTTCCAGTAAAAACTCCAACATTCAAAAAATTTCAGTTGTTCTACCAATTTTTGCCCCTAAATGATATTAGAGCATTTGACGATCAAGAAAAAACAATTTTGTACCGGCCAGCAAATGTCTTGGATTCTAGTTTAAGTTAACCACTACCATTCACTTGTTATCGGACAGTATTGGGAGATCAACTGTTACTAATTTTGTTCATCATTTGATAGACACAACGCATAAATTTTGGATTTTTTTTTCGTACAAGAATGAAGAACTGCCACTTCATACACAGAATGCTCCATTAGGTGCACATTATAGCTCCGATGTTCGGAAAAGATAATAGAAATTTGTGCCAGGGTGGTTTTTAGAGAAAGTGAACAAAGTGCCCAGTAGCTTGAGGAAAAAATTGTGTTCATAATAGTTTATACTTGCAACCATGTTAATTTTCAGAATGAGAGTATCCATAAGTCTACAAATGTATGTAGGCATTCAAATAAACATGCAGTAAATGAAGCATATCAAGCGTGGCATTCCAGAGCAGACAATTTTTTGTAAACTGAAAATTTCGTTTGTTAAAATTTCGATCAAAAGTCAAAACAATATTAGTCTTCTTAAAACTCTTTTTGAACAAATTTACCTTCAAAATTAAACAAAAGGCTGTTCGTATCAAGGCGAGGCCCTGAATGTTTTGACTGCCTTTTAAGGCCTATGGAGCAAAAAAAACATGAAAAAATTATTCGTAATAAATTAAAATGAAACAAAAATCCAAAACTTGAGATTTTTTTTGAAAATCATTCCCACACACGCCATATAAAGAATAAAAAGATAGATTTTGCTCCTAGTAACATATCAATTATGGCAAATAAGCTTTTTTCAACCAATTTGGAACGATTTATAAGACGGATCAAATTCTCTTAAAAAACTCCTTTTATTTGTTTTTATAACAAATTTACATTAAAAACTGGCAAAAAAATTGAAAACCTTTGCAAAATTTTATAAAACAAATGTGAAAAAAGCGCTTTAAATACATAAATCAAATTATAAAAAAAAATTTGTGCAACTAAGACGACCAAAAATTGAATAGAGTGTAAAGAAGCCGGAAAAAAAGAATGGAAGTTTGTTCGTAACAATTTATATTTGCAGAGCCTGTTACTTCATAGAATAAAAGAATAGATAAGTCCACAAGTCTTTTCAGACATTCAAGTATGCCTAGATACAGTAGTTGAATCATACCAAACAGTGGCAACTGCATGCGAAAAAAAAAGAAGCTGCCATCGATTATAGCAGGTCCCGGTTAAGCTCAATAAGAGGCCGAATATTTTCGAGTTTCGCTCTGATGCTATCAGTCTTGTTTTCATGACAGTATTTCACATGCAAGGTTTTAGCACCTTTTTTTTCAAAAACATTTGCATTAACACGGCAAGAAGAACACTGAGGTTTGAAAAAAAACTTAAATAACCCAGTAAAATAATTTTTGCATGCTTTTGAAGATTCATAAGAACTGACGTCCATAGTTTTGTATAAATTCATAAATTGTACGCATTTGTTTTGATTTGCTTGGTCTCTTGCATCAATTTTTAATGTTTTAGGTCAAAAAGAAAGGAGCAAGCAAGTCGGCTAAAAGCCCCAAAGGAAAGGGGAAAAAGAGCGGGAAGAAAGCGGGGTCGAGGGCCAAAACTGCAGTCGAGTCCAAACCAGAAATAGTAGTTGACCCTTTCAGTTATGAAGCAATGGAAAATGCGTACTACTTTGCTCACAATTTGCAGCATTTGTTGGAGTTGAAGGGACTTGTGGGTTCTAGTGGGGGGAAAAAGAAAAAGGGGGGCAAGGGCAAAAAAGGCAAGAAGAAAAAGTGATCAACTTTAGAATTAAAAACCCACTTTTCTGTTGACTCATTCTTAACGCACCCTTCTACCTTTTTTTACCGTTGCAGCCCCCCTCCCCCACACCTCCCTACATCCGTTTTCTCCCCTGCTAGCCAGAAACATCCCAAAAAACGTGACAAAGTATAAATTAATTAATTATCTTTCTCTGTGAAATATTCCAGTTCGATATACGTAGTAATGATCAATCGTAAATCGTACCCTAATAAAAATTCTCCTGAATAAAATCTTTCTTCCAATGTGATAATTATAAAATTGTTTCTAGTTCTGATGAAATTGAGTTTATGATCAACAGACCTTTTACTCGTTCAGAGAGGTGAAATATTAGAAAAACCAGCTCAGCTAACTTTCAATTATCAAAGGCCGTCTTTTTTGAACCCTTTTTCGGCTCCTTATCAAGCAGTTTTTTATCGCGCAAACCCACTCAGGTAAATTTAAGTTCTTGATTTAATGTCTTGATAAACCGAATCTTTTGAACTATTTCCTTCCCCCTTTGAAAAAGGGGAAATTTGTTACAAAGTAAAAAATTTATTAGCTTAACCGTTTAATTCTTTCTTTTAAAGGTTGGAAAATTGTTACTAACTGAAAAATGTTATTCGTAAGGCTTATCAAAACCCAAACGATACATTAAAATAAAACGCATCGATCATTTAGAAGAGTTTTTCTAATAAATTATAACAAATAGTCAATCTTGCCAATGAATTCATCTATTTCTTAGAGATGCATATCCATTTAGTTCTTTTCTCTATTCATATATGTTAAGCTTTTTTAGCTGTGCATAAATAAACCAAGTTTAAAAACTCTTTTGCGTAAAATGTAACCTTTTAGAATTGTATAAATTACAGCAAGTAGGCTATCGTTTTGCAGAAGACATATTAGCCCGCTGGTTGGCTTCTTCGAAAGACGGTTGAAATATCAGCCCATTTTACAATTATAGAGCGGTCTGATTTCATATGCCGAGAGAGATGAGAGAACTACTTACCAAAAATTAGAAATTCTGATGGGCTGAGTGCTAATTAACATCTTCATGAATATATTAAATTTAACTAAGACAGAGAATAGCATGTCAAAAAATACTTTATATACTCTTATTATAAAAAATATTTTCATGTATAACATTTAAGGTGACTTAAAATTGAACCCCAAAACAAATTGGAAAAAAAAACGAATGATTTTATTGAATAAGGTCTATTCTTCATTGTGGTCTCCAACAAATCATGGTTCTCATTCTCGCCCCTCGAGAAGTATAAATTTCGCTTGGGGAGTATAGTTTAACGCTGATGAGGTATAAGCTTTGCCAAAATCATGACAAATCTCTCACCTTGAACAGAGATTTTTGAGCTTTTTTGTAAGGAACTCGATTGAAAAAAATTCCTTTGCAGGCGTGCATTTTCCCTCAATTTTAAAAAAATGTTGTTGACGATGCCCCTCCCCCCTAAAAACGTTCTTGTTCAAAAGATGTTTTTCCACAGTTACGAAGCATTTACAGGAATTGGATTTTGTGAACGTTTTATTCAAGTCGACCAAATTGATTTTACAAGCCCTCCCAAATTTGTAATTTTTTACCCAGCGAAATTTTTAAAAAGGTTTAAAAAAGTTGTTTTAGGCACTCTATGGAAAATTTCGACCAAATTAACGGGTTGTTTCGGTGCGCGCTTGCCCCACAAAAGTAGTATATAGTTTAAAGCAAACGACAATGGCAGAGAGCGTTAGACAACGATACTAAGACGATGTGGATGGTTTGAAAACTAAGACTATCTTAAAAGTAGTAAAAAGATCCAAGGATTGAAATAGTAAACTAAATAAAGGCAAATTTCGACACTTAGCATAGTGGTAAGGCGTTCACTTTGAAATTGTCAGATCGTGTATTCGATCCCAATTCATGGCAATGATAGTGTGTGAGGTCGAGCTCTCACTTGACCTCTAGAAACAGGTCTACCACAGCCTGACCAATTTCGGCTGCAATAGTGGTACCACGAGAAAGTTGCAAAAAAACTACCTTGAGTAGCAAACAAGGAGCTTCCCTCAAGAAAATAACACAGTCTGGAATGTGGGGAGATAATACAAATGGATGATTCTCGACAGGACTGTAAGGGCCTAATGATAGCTCCTCTGCGATTCGCAGGAATCACACACACATAAATACACACACACAAATATATACAGGGGCGGATCTAGGATTTTCTCGAGGGGGAGCGGATTCGTAAATTTTGTCGACTTTTTTTTAGTTCGACCAAATTGATTTTTCGAGCTCTCCCAGAGCACTGTTTGTCCCTATTTTGGCCGAATTTTCTGCGCGGCAGGCAAAATTTTGAAAAAATAGGCGTTTTCTGAAAAATTTTGAACAAAAAATTGCGTTTTTTCGGCGCGCGCTCCCCCCTCAAAACTAGTATATATTGGCGCCTAAGGCGCCCTTAGAACATTTTTAGGGTCCGACGCCAAAAATGGATATCTCAAAATAGTACAAAGGGGGGATCCTTTGGGTCGGCAGGGGGTCGAATCCCTGAGGAGGGGGGGGGCGTCCGCCCCCCCCCCCCTCTCCTTCTAAATTCGCCCCTGGATTCATGTCATTGAGGTCATAAAAGTTTGCAACTAGGTCAAATGATCTTCACTTGAAACTCCACTCTTATCTGACAATTTCGGAACCCGGTTAGTTTCTGTAAATCTAAACATGTCATTGATGTTAGTTTAAGAAGATAAACTTCATTGGATGCTAAACAGAAGTTCTTTTGTTTCGAGAAATACAGCAAATGTATCATAAAGACGAACTTGAAATTTGAAGGTAATATATTAAGGACCAAAAACATTTCAGAAAAAGATTGCTAGTATTTAAAAAAACCGCACTAATTAAGCTGCTATTCATTTGCTCATTCCTTCAGTAGTACGCGCCAAATTGCTTTTTTTTCAAATTTCTCGCATAATTCTGCTTTTTCAACGTTCTGATCAATCGAAACATACGATAGATTTGCTCTTGGGGTCACAAAGAATCTATCCATATTTTATCTCATGGTACATTATTATCGTCCACACAAACAAACTCCGAATCAAAAGCCTTGATCATCTCACGATAACACAACGAAACTTCAATAAAACTATAACTACTTGAGCTTTAGTTGCGGTCAGTTGGCTTGAAGAAGTTCAAACACTAAAAAAAAGAATCTTTCCAAAGTAAAAATGTCTAACTCCGTTTTGAAGTTGGCCTTCGTAGCACTGGTGACCATCTCGGCAACTTACGCGGGAAAGTGTCCCGAAATTGAGCCAATTCAGGACTTCAACTTGACTGGCTTTTTGGGCACGTGGCACGAGATTGAGAGGTTCCCGAACAGATACGAGTACTTCACCTCGTGTGTCGTCAGCGACTACAAGGTCACCGGCACAGACGATGCAGGTGAGTGTTGGTTGAGTTTAAATGTCATAACTACACAGAGTTGAGGGCAAAAAAGAGCACATTAATCATATCTTATCAACTATTTGAGAATCAACTTGAAAAAATACGCTCTTAAACTTAGTCACATATTGCAACTATTTTGTAAAAAGTATTAGAAAAAATAAAAGCAAAAACCTAGTAGAAAAAACACGAACGCACTAAAAAACGCAAATTTTTAGGCCAAAAGCATTCTAGATGGTCACTTTAGAATCTTGCTACTTTTTCAAGAGTGATAGGGACCAAAAAAACTCGGCCCACCTGAAAAAACCACAATATTCAGGCCCATTCTTGCAACAAGCACTTTTATCACCTGCCGATAATATAAGTATGTGCCTTTTAGTGCACTAATTTGGTGTTAGTGTGCTTCAGGTACAACTATGAAGATAGACATGGACTTCGTACGCTTCTACAAATCTAGCAGCGGATCACTCGATACTCTCTACAGAAAGGTAAGCACAACAATAAAAGGACTGATATTGAGGAGCTAACAGAAGAAATAAAAGAGCTGTCCATTGCTTCTTCCCCCCCCCCCCCTTTGCTTCCCTCGGCACCCTACTGATGCTAGTCAAAGAAATATATTCAGACTTGAAAAACAAAAACTCGAACCTCCTCTACCTTAGTTAGAACTTCTTTGGATCAGTTATCTTAACAATAAGATCACATCGCACTCTGGTTTAGCTTTTTTGGATCGAGAATTGTAAGCTTAATTGTATGGTTGCAACAGTTTAATAAAGAAACCGAGTACATCCTTAATCTACTATCATCAACTCTCGCATCCCTAACAAAATTTCAAAAAATTCCCGTAACTATCTCTCGAACATAATTAAAATCTCCGGATGCTCAAAACAGAGGTCGATGTGGCTACAAAAATAGCAACATCAACTCATGGCTCAGTTTGAAAAAACTCCTTTGCTATCTGATATGCCCTTCGAAGGACTAATACTACGGTTAAATATTACTAACAAGTATTGAAACTAGCAGCTGAAAATATCTCTTACAATTGGCGGAAGTTTAAAACTGGTTTATACTGACTGAGGTCCAAGTCGTCTGTTTAGGGGGACACTAAAGGTGAGTTTATCATCATGCCCGAGTATGAGACGGAGCCGAATGCGTTCATCCTCGCAACCGACTACAAGACGTATGCCCTCCAGTACTCATGTGAAGAGAGCTTTCTCTGGGGCACAGTCGAAATGGCCAGCATCTTGTGTATGTATAGTCACCGGTTCTTCGTGCATGAGAATAGCCCCTCATAGCCACTGGGCGAATCCCTCATGCACGGAAAGACCAAATGCCCGGAAGCTTTTACATTTAAGAAGATCCAAAAAAAATTAAGAAAATGGCAATTTTTGGGGCTAGATTCGCAAACCTGGAAAAGTGCTTTGATAGGATTTAACCAACGGATTTAAAACTACAAAAATTTATGCTAGGTTAATTAGAAATGGATTGTACTAAATCATTAAAACGGCATTGAAATTATGTTTGAATTTATTAACAAAATTGCTTCTTTATTTTTGGTCATACCACAAAGGGCGTTGATTGTTTGAGAACTTTCTCGCATTCGGTTCTTCGCGCATTTTAAAAGTAAGCCCCAAGTAGACAGACATATTTAACCTCGTTACTTTAATTTGGTATATTTTTTCTATAGCTCAGGTGATTTTTCAATTTTTGTCCAAATATTTCTCTTCCTTTAGTGGTTGGAACAAACACTACCAACAGACAGTTCGAAAAGATTCAATGAAGGCAAGAAAACACAAAAAATTGGTTCGAATTTCAAAGTGAAAAGATTATGGCTTTTGAGCTCAATTTTATGACACTGATAAAATAAACTCACTTTGAGAACATTACATCAATATGTAAATTTTTATTCCGCTGGGAAATCTGAATATTAAAATCCACTTTGAATTTACGTCGACGGCTTTTTCGTGACGGCTTTTTAAGTCGACGGCTTTTTCGTGACCTTTACACTTTTGCTGTTCGAAGTGAAGTTTGCCTTCATTTAACAAAAAATGAACTGAGCAAAGAAAAATCAAAAATCAAACTGCGAAAAATCAATCTTTCAAACTTTCAGCATAAGACTTGTTGCTGAAAGTTTGAAACACTTAACAAGTATATTAGTTGGCTTATTGGTATGAAATACAGGTCCCATACTTAGGTTAATTGAACCACTGAACTACTACCAAAGTTTTGAAGGTCATTGAACTGTTTCTTCAAGATCATACTTCTACTTCACGTGAAAAACGTTTTCTAAAAAACAAGCGTGAAATTGCAATTAATTCTCTTGAACGTCTCGCAAATTCAAATTGCGCTATGAACCTTGCTCACTTGTTGAGAAGCAGGCATTTTTTCAGTCTATAAATTACCAAACAAACCAAACAACTGCATGCAATTCTTTTTTAATCATTTTTTTAATCATTTTATCCACGAGGGATAGGACCAACATACGAGCTGTACAGCTCATCACGGCGAACCGCTGTTGTGCCCCTGCTTAAGAACTACATGCAATTTTTTTGGTTATTTTTCTGGGCTGGGTAATGTTGCCTCACCCTCAAGCAACGAGCACGAATTCGTAACTAAACGGTCATCAACAAGATGTCATCTAAAATGTAGTTCTTTCTTTGAAAATGAACCAAACTTTTTGGCAGCTAGCAGTTTTTTAATTAGATTTTTTCTAAGAAATGATGTGCTAATTATAAGAAAATATTAAAACAAAATTTCAGCTGATATAAAATAGCAAAAATTAAATGGCGAACTGGTAGAATTTAATTCAGACGAGAAAACAATTAAAGGCTCGAAGCGACTTTACAAATGTCTCAAAATTTTTTAAATTATCCTGTTATTTATTCTTTTAGCTTTTCCATTTATATCACATATTACATATTATTACATATATTACACAATTCAGTTGAGGCTGGTTCAAGACTCAAAATAACTGTTTTAGCTCGATCGCAAGAAATCTCTGCTGACATCACAGCTAAGTTGAAGCAGATAATTGATGACATGGGGTCGGATAGTTCCAAGTTCGAGGAACCAGAACATCAGAACTGTCCAGGAACGCCTGGCTACCCGGAGAGCAGACCTTTCAAGTGGGTCAACTTCTCATAGACGGAAGACAAACGCATGCCGAAGAGAGTTCAACGCATTGTTCCGTAAAAAAGACATAGATTTATAAAACTTAAACAATACATGCGGAACTCATGATTGAAATGTGAATTTTGCTGTTAGACTTATCAATGCTATACAGTAGAAAATGATTATCATGCAGCTAACTTAATTATCAGAAAAAATTATCAATACAAGGACGCACGATTCAACAAGTTCGAGTTCTACACGAATCTGAAAAACCATTATATATAGCACAAATTCTTGAACATTTAAAAAGGTATATAAGAATTTCCGAAGAGAACAAACTTAAAAAGCTTAAGAATTCGGATGCTCAAACTGTTTATTCGGCTGTTGGTCCAAAAAAATATCAGAAAGAGGCCGAAAAGAATTTTGAAACAGCTGCGATTCGTGCATAGAAACATAGCTAACAGACAGTAGGAAAAGAGTGATAAACGCAATGAAACAAAAAAAAATGGGTTGTTTTCTGAAAAAAAACTTCAACTTTTGAACTTTAAACAAAACAATATATGACCTTAAAGCTCTTGGAATTTCAACAAAAATTCTTATAGGCGTTTTTTCAAAAAAAAACCAGAAAACTGGATCAATAGATAATTTTTTATTTCGCTGGCAAATCTGAAAATCAAATTTATTTTCGAAACGAAGTCGATCACGTTCTTCGTGAACCTTACACTTTTGTTGTTCGATTGTGACGTTTGCCTTCATTTTAACAATAGAAACAGCGAAAAATCAAATTTGAGCCTGAAAAAAAAATAAAAATCAACAAGACCTATATAAGAGTATTCACAACCTTGATGACTCTCATCAAAAAGACAAACAAAAAATTATTTCAATCCATATCCAAATTCTTCTGTTCGCCTGAAATAGACTGCTCTTATTAGGTTAATACTTCGCACTGATTCTCGCACTTATAAGCGAATTACCAAGTTACATTTGTATGAAGCTGCATCAAAACAATAAATTGAATAAAAGTAGAGGCCTTGTAGCTTAGATCAGGGATATCCTTGCAAACTCATGGGACCCCCCCCCCTTCATCACGATTTTTTTTCCTGTTCCATTTCACACGTGGATAACACATCTTTCATGAAAAATATCACTAATCGTCTGGTTCAATTAAACTCTAAAAAAAAAATAGTTAACAAAAAGCTAATTCAATCTAGATTCTGCTGACTCGAGATTTCTAGTAACTTGTACAATACAATAGAAAAAGCAGCAGATACATTTAAAGAGTTCACAGCAGTTTCAGCAACTTCAGTTCCGGTTCCAAATGACGAAACTGATACAACATGATCACACTTATTCAGCAACTCTTTCGAAACACCTGATCCCTCGAAACCGAAAACTATCACGATTTTCAACTTTTCGGCTCTTTGTGCCATGGATAATTTTCTACAAATATCATCCAAATCAACATTTTTGGGACCAGGTTCATCAGTTCCGATAACAACCCGGTTCTGAGAAGACTTTAGCAAGTCAATGAGTTGAGAAGTGTCGCGGCTTTTGTGGAAATTTAGTAGCTCAACTGCCCCTGAACTCGCTTTCGCACATGCTGGAGAGAGAATTGAACATTGGGGTGTTAATATGACCGAGTTTTTGGGCCCTGCTAGAAAACAGAGGGTTCGCAAAATGGCTCCCAGATTCATTGGGTCTCGGATTCCGTCGAGAATGAAAACGTGTTGCTGCTGAAACAAAAAAACGTCTGTGCAATAATAAGTGTTTTCACAGAAAAGAAAAGAATACCTATAATTAAATCACCAATTAAGACAAAAAAAACAACAAAAAAAAGTTCGAAAAAGCGACCACAGGAAAAATTTTCAGTCCAGGTCTATATTCAAAAAGTTAGGGGCGGGATGTGAAGTGTAAGCTACATAAAAACTGGATACCTTTTCCAACAACTGCAACGTTGCTTGCATGTTCTCCTCGGTGACTTCAGTTATTTCTCTGGGGGACACTTCCAACACCACTCCCTGGTGTGGCTTGTCCCCTCCCCCAGACATGAAAGAGAGGGCTGCTCTGTTGTACAGCATCACTGGGATCCTCTCTCGTTCGAGGATGTCCAGAATACTACGAACTCCCAACAGCATTTTACTACAGGCAACACAACAACAAAAGATTTTAAAAAACTAACGACGAACCATTCTTGTACACCTGGTCAAGCAATTGATGTAGTTTTTTTGGTTAAGGATTTGATGAAGTTTTTTGGGTTTTTTCTGGGTTAGGTAAAGTAGCTTATCCTTCAGCAAAAACACAATCATGAAGGGACTCGAACCAACTACTTTTCCATTGGGAGGCGGAGAAGTAGCCACATCGCCACACCCCCTCCCTAAAGTTAATATTCTGCCCCTATATTGCCTCTCAAGATATTTATCGAATACATATAGAAAATATCTTAGCTAAATCGAACAAAAAAAAACAGATTATTTACAATACTTCTGATTTAAGTAGCTGTCAAAATTTTCTCAAAAAAAAGTTTGACTTACGACGGGTTTTGTATTCTACTCGTATCAGTTTGGAAGTAGTCTTTCCTCACAAACGCTCTATGCACTATCCTTGATTTATGCTTTAAAGCTAGTAAGCAAGGATACACGCCGTAGAGGAAATCATTCGTTTCATATGGTTCCAACTCATCAAAAGCAGAAGAATCTTCGTACGCATTTCGACGGTCTTGATTCGGTCTGAAGCTCAAAGGAGAACGTGGTCGTTTAGCCGAATGTTTGTTGTATCTCGACATAAAGGCAACTTGTGTTATATTAGAGAAAGGTAAGTTATGTTGAACACTACTTGAACATAGCTTACATTTAGTTAAGAGAAACTCCATAGCAAATCTGAAAGATTTACCACAGGTTTAAAAATACCAAATTAGAATTTTTCGATGGGAACAATATGATAACCTATGAACTCATATCTCGGAATATCGTTTCCTACAGGTAGCATCGGTTTGAGAAGTTTACTATCAAAAAAGGTCACACACGAACAAAAAGAAGATTGAATGAAAGTTATTAACTGATAGCAGGTGCTTACAACATCCCTATCTGAAAACCAAAAGGCTGAGATACAGACGACACGTATCATCAAATGGCCTGCATCCAGGCCAATCATCACTTCGACAGCAAGCCCAAGATTTTCAAAATGAACTGTGCTGTGCTTTGAAGATGAACGCATTAGATCTCTTCGAGCACAAAATTGATTGATTATTTTAAAGCTTATTCCTTTCATGTTTGTTTAATAAAACGATATTTTTATATACACAGAGGCGAAGCGGAGCTTCGCACCACTTGCATTCAACATAAACATTAAAAAAACATGAGTCAAAAAAATTTTTTAGATGTTGAAAAAAACTAGATGAACCAAAATTTTCGTATGTCTCGATAAAAAAAGACAAGGAGCCCAACTAAAGCTGGAGGCACGTGTTTCATATTGAATGAATTTGTTATACTGATGCGGGACGAAATGCGTAATTTAAAAACTTGGAGTTTGCCCAAAACCTTAAATGTTTCTCTATTCAAATAAGTAAGAGTCGAAATGTTTGAAAGTTTAGAATTTTCCCAAAGACAACCAGTCTATTACAAAAAAAAACTAAAGAGTAACCGCTTCTGAATTAAAATATTCGTGCAACCGCTTCTTTCTATTGAAATTTTATCTCAAACTTGATAGGGTAGTATTTAAAAATATTCAAAAATTTTCTAAAAACGGTTACAAATTCAACAACTAGACTTTCTGAAAGTAAAGAAGATTCCCAAAAGCGGGTTTCGCGATTGGAAACTTAATCTGAGAATTGGCACGGTAATTTTCGAATAGAAAAACTTCAAAAACGTTCAAAAATTCGAAACTTTCACTTGCTTGAAGATCATAACTTTTTTTTTAAATGTGCGTAGCAAATTATAACCTTAAGCTTCCACTAACCTGTTGTGTCGATTAAAACAATGATATCAGATTTGGCAGGGTCGTTATCGAGAAAAGTCCAAGAAACGGTCAACAGAACGGTTGACACTTCCGAGAACCATATCTTTTTGTTTTGGAACGGTCAACAGAACGGTTGACATTTCCGAGAACCATATCTTTATGCAAAAAAAACTCATCCAAGCTGAAAATTCGATTGAACCCAAATTCCAGGTTTGCCAGGGGAGTTGCTTTCAAGAAACGGTCACAAAAATTAAAATTTTGACTTTTCCGAGGGCCATAATTTTTTTAAATTTGGGCGCAGCTCACAGTCCGTTTTTTGGATTGAACCCAAAATCTCAGATATGGGAGGTATTTTTCGGTCCAATTAAAAATTTATAAAAATGGAGTGAGCTTTTCAAATCAATTCTATTTATTGAAACCAAAATCTCAGATTTGTTAGGTTAGTTGTGAAACGGAAAAAAAAATTAAAAACATCGGTCAATTATTCTCCCTACAGACTTTTTCGAAGGCTGTAGACAAAAAAGTAAAGCAACACAGACAAGGGAAAATTTTTTTTTGCAGGTGATGAAATTTTCCAAAGCGTCTCAAAAAAAACAAATCACAAAAACCCAAATCCCATACACTTTTATGAAACTTGTTTTTATCAAACAAGAAATCTAAACAAGCATGCCATGCAAGGTATTTGAAATTCAAATTAGCAACTGAACAAAACTTTCGAAGCGGAAACAAGGCCGACAATCTTTGAGCAGACAGCAGTTGAGCCGAAAAACTGATCTACTAAAAAAATTTGAAAAAGTTTCAAGTCCCCCTGAAAGTACCCTGAAGTAACTAGTACCCAAAGAGTAGCTAAAATTGAATGTTCATGAAATTGAGCATGTCATGCAGCTGACATGCTGAATTTCGTGAAAACTCATATTTTATTTAACTGATTTTGTTCAACTAGTTGTTAAAAAGCGTAACACAGAGGCAAGGCTGAGCTCCGCACCACTTGCTCTAGCAAAAAAAACGAATATGCTTAAAACCAAACGGAAAAAAAACAAGGATAGCCAGTTAATGTGCAAGTAGCCCAGAATGTTCCAAAGACAGTCTTAGAAAAATACAAAACTTTTTTTAATGTCGTTACTTTCCACATGATCTGATGAAAAGATCTAAACGGAATATAGAAATTAAGCATATTTGACAGTCATGTTAAAAAAAGCCTTTCAGAGAACAGTTTTTTAAGAAAATTGACCAGCAGACGAAAAAAAATTGAAAACAAAATGGCACTAAAAAAACGGCACTAAAAAATCCATTAACTACTTTTACTTGATAATAACTAAGTTTTCACGACTTAAAGTAAGCTTAAATAAGATATTGTAAGCCTACACGCTCACATCATATCAGTTAAAAGTTAGACCAAAAATGAAAAATTTGAAACCAGTTTTTCTCGAAAATTTTTTTATGTCGTTCGAATCACGACTGAAAGCGCTTTAACGTGATATACCACTCAACTTAGTCCAATAATTATTTGGGGTATCTTATTTTTCATGGCAATTAAAGAAAAAAAGGTAAAACAACCGCATACAAAGTTCCTCCCCATTTTTCAAATGGTCGGAACAATGGAAAAAAACTTCAAAAAATTGTTTTTGTCAATAAAAATTGCAACAAAATTTCAAAATATTTTATGATCTTTCTCGCCTGGATTATCAATTTTTTGTTTTCGATCTGCATCGTTTTTCAAGGTCCTTTATTTGTTCACTTCCTTTTTTTGATAAAGCAGAATGGCCGCTTAAGGTTTTTTTTTGCTATCTCTTGATTTAGTCCTGGAAAGTTAAGGCCAATACAAACTTTGCAGAGAAATATTTTGCAGAAACCAGCTCAAAAACATTCAATTAATACCGTTGGAAAGTTGCTGTCGTAGAACAGAATGTTCCAATCACAGTCTTTAAACAAAAAAAAAACGTTTTTTAAATAAGTGTAGTTCTTGTGTAAGCTGTGAAGAACTATACAAACGCGTATAAAGTTAGTAAATGGGGCATAATCGAAAACAGTTCTCTTCAAAAAATGAAAAAAATTCTAATTGTGCACATAAACTGTTCAATTTTCTCAAGAAAGCTGTCATAGCCAAAGAAAAAAAAATAAATGTACGGGGATACAAAGTTTATCCCCATTTTCAATGGTCGGAACACTAAAGCTGTTCAAGCTATACACGAACAGGAAGCATGCGAATATAAACTTCGGGCAAAGCAATTTCGCAAAAGAAAAACTTATTTAACATTTAATAGCATTTGAAACTTTTGTTTTTGACAAAAAGGACAATTGGATTTACATATAAACTAATACTCAATAATTGTACCTTTTCAATAGTCCCTGAAAAAAACATGCAATGACAAAAAGCTAATCAAAACATGACATACCGCTGTTTGGCCCAAAAACCCATAAATACATTCGTTTTTTTATTTTCAAAGTTTTATTTTTGACAAATTTTTATCGCCCAAAAATGGAGCTTTTACCCAGGATCGGCCTCAAAATCTGTTAAAAAAACACTCTCAGTCGACGTGCGTTACTCAAAAAAATATTTGAGTAACGAAACAGCCAGCTCAAAGCAAAACACTTCGCTGAGTGGTGCGGCGGTGAAGTGGTTCTATATCTGCCTCTCAATCGAAAAGTAGGATGTTCGAGGTCCAACACGATCCGTGCTCACTGCTTGGGGTGAGGCAGCATGACCCAGCCATCAGAAAAAAAGCCAAATGCATGTAAGTCTTAAAATAAGTCTTAAGTCTTTAACTCTGTACAATAAAAAGCTATTTAGACGCCAAGTTTTCGGTTTCTGAATCCCTTCAATACCCAAATGGTCACAATTTAGTACTTTTTAGAGCACTATGTCGTTATACTTTACAGAACAGCTGAGCATAGGACCCCCCCCCCACACCACCCCATTTCCCTACTCAGGGATTCGACCCCTCACCACCCAAAGGGTCCACCCCATTGGTACGATTATATATCAACTTTTGGACAACCGATCCTAAAATTTTCCAAAGGCGCCTTCGTCGCTAATATATACTTATTTTCATGGTGAACATGCTATTTTTGGTCAAAACATTCCAAAAAGCGCCCGAAACATTCCAAAAAGCGCCCGAAAGCCAAATATAGTTCAATGACAGGAAGCCTCAGTGACTAAACATATATTCATCACCTCTATTTATCACTCGCAGTTAAGCTTCCAACACTGCATGGTTTTAAAGAAAACAGTTTTAAAATTACTAGCGTTTAACGCACCTCCGGTGCTTTGAAATTTTTCGACAACTCATGAAAAACCGCATATATTGGAAACAACATCTGCAAACTTTTAGTGTACTCTGACTGCACCCAATTTGAGGGTTGGTAATTTCGAAACTTTTAATTTTTTTAATTCCCATTTTAAAAGCGTCATCTCGAAAATTTAATGAGCCTCTGTAGAAATTTGGAGGCCAGATTTGCAACCACTGAGAGTCCTCACTGATAGGGTTAGGAATTCAAAATTTTGTGAATTTTTTTAAACCTAAGTTTCCCGAAAAAAAAACTTGAAAAAAACGTCTTATCTCGGAAACTAAAATGATTTGAGCATTCATATAAAGAGGCAAGATTTGAGATGCCAGGGTGTACGCTGACAATAAGGTTGTATTTTCATCGAAGTGGTAGTTTCACATTTTTTGAATTTCTTTGTAGATAAGTTCTTTGAGAAATTTTTGAAAAGAATAAAAAAACGTCACATTTCGGAAACTAAAAGCATTTTAGCAGTCGCGTTTAGCAGTCGCATGTGGCAAGTTTTGCAACGCTTAAGAGTACCCTGACAACACCGAACTATAGCGTTGGGAATTTCAGATTTTAAAAAAATAATCTTATTTTAAGTTTTCTGAAAATTTTTGAAAAAATCACAAAAAACGTCATATCTCGAAA